GGGGCTCATCAGCATCTTCTGCTGCCACAAACAAAGGTTATGAGCAGACATCTTCACACAGAAACATTAACAAAGTTGGCTTGGTAAAAAGGTAGAAATAGGAGTAACTTGAGGCATGCCTGAGTGGTCTGAGTGTTGCTGGTGGTTTGGAGGTGACTGTGCCTCCCTGGCAAAAGGGTGTTGAACAGTCACGGCCTTTGCAGCATAGGGCACATATAGCTGGAGGGCTGGAAAGTCTTGCTTATGTGGGGAAGTCTGAGCAGGGGGCAATGGGGAGCACTCTAGCAGCAGAGACAGCAGTAAGAAAGGAGCTGGACCAGGGAGTCTTTCTTCATGCAGTGAAATGGGTAATTTGGGGAAGATAACTATTTCCCAAGGAATTAGGATTTGCCTTAAAAAGTGTAAGAGCCTGGTACATTCTCCCAGGCTGGCAGAGACCTGGCTTTGCAAGCCCCACAAAACATCACACAATGCAACTTCTGTCCAGGAACTGGAAGCTGTCCACATTCATCAGACCTGCTTGTGAAAAACCAGATCAAGTGCTTTTGTTCCACTTAGGCAGATGGGCCTCAGCTCCTAGCAGTCAGCTCTGCCCATTTCTTCAGTGGTCATAAGTGCCCCTGCCCCCATGAGCACCTTCTGGAGAACAGGCAGTGAAACAGTTTCTGGTTTCACCAGCACAGCCGAGGGGGTTTGGCAGGGAGAGGATGGATGCACTGGAAATAGAAATAAATGTCTGTGCATGAACAAGGGAAGTGGCAAGGGTCACTGACCTGGAGGGGCTAGAGGGAGGGCAGGCACCAGTTCTGTAAAGGAAGCATTTCTGCAGTGCAGGGATGTATTGGCTTGTAGGCAACAAGTACAGAGACTGCAGAGTGCTGCAACCTTTGTGATCATTCATATCAGCCTTGATGGGGTGAGGAGGGGAGGTGGAGAGGGGCAGTGGAGGAGGCTGTCTCCTGACATCCTTCCTAGGATGATTCTGAGTAGCTGACAGTGACTCTCACCTCTCCTTTCTCCCACTTAGCTTCTGTGCCTGCTGGGAACTTCTAAGGTGCACACTGAATCTGAAGTGCACTGTAACTAAAACATAGTTGCAGTCATAAATCCTTCCTCTCCTTTACAATCAAAATACTGATGGAGTGGCAGCACTGCTTGGATGTCAGTCACTGAAATTGCTGCAAGGAAATGGTAGATCCTCAAAGAATAAGGAAATCATTAACATTTCACTGGGATCAGCGTTGACCAGGAGATAAAGTGAGCTTCCTGTGTCCGGCAGGATTCCTGGCTGGAATGCCAGTCCTTCTTCTGAGAGGAGTAGCAGCTCCCTCTGTAGGCTACCCACTGATCAGGACAGTGTGTGTGGGAGTCACCTGTAAAGGAATCAAAATACCAGATTTTCACTATTATTAACCAACAGAAAGACATTTGTCAGTAAGGACCGACTGAAAAGCAATTCTTCTAGATAATTGAAATGCAGAAAATACGAATCAGGATAAGGATTTAAAAATAGGAATGCATGAACACCCACCTTCAGATCCTCTGTGCAATTTCCAAATCTCCATAGAAGGCTCATCAACTCTGACGCTGGTGCAACCCTTCCTCCACCCCCGACCCCTGCCCCCATCCTGCCAAGGTTTCCTACACCTCTGACCTACACAGATACTTGAGAACCAAAATTGGCTATGTGAAAACAGAAGACAACTCTGCGTGTGCAAAAAAGGAAAAAAAATGAACATTCTGTGTGTGCAGTTTGATCACACCACACATCGGGTGAAGGCATTTTAAGTAGCAAACAGTAGGCTTTCTCACATGCTCTAGCACCTTTTGTATGCATGCAGAAGTGTTATAGACCTTGCATATTAGTTCTACAGTTTACCACTATAATTACAGCAGACAGTCTACAAAATTTTTTCAAAATGTTTCACTGCTTTTTGCCACAGGATCTGAAATAGGTTGCCTGGAGTCTGCACAAGGATTCTATTCCTCAAAATATTCTGGGTAGGCAGTGGGTACTTAAGGCCCTTAGAAACCTAGAACAGCTTTTGATTTAACGTCATATAGGGAAATACAGTATCTGAACACCTGTGCTTAGAAGAGCCTCCAGTCCTTTGCTGTTGATTGTTTGCCCTCAGTACCCTTTTGTGCACTTACTCATCTTCCAAATCAACGCAATTGCTAGGATGATGCTCAGTATCCCAAAGCAAATAGCTAAGCCTGGCACAACTGCTGGCTGCTGGCAGGGAGCTGTGAAAAAAAGAAACCACAATGAACAGGAGCCACATGAAAACTTGGTGCTGGTTTAGGTAGTTTGCATGTGTCCTGGGCATTACCATAAGGAACTGGACTACTCAGAGGATCCCTGTCTGTCCACACTCTGCACATTGCTGCAATCACTGTCCCTATCCAGCCTCCCACACCCTCTGCCCATTGGCCAAGGGCCCCATCTCAGCTCAGCCTGGGTCGATTCCCTGCCTGAGCTTCCCCATCAGTCCCTGTCTGAGCTTCCCAGGAGGTGTAACTGTCTCCAGGTCAGTCACAGCTCTGCCCCTGCAGGGCCACAGAACCAACTGGTCCAGCCAGTGCAGTGGCTGACTCCAGGAGAGGAAGCACCTGCCCCATGTCAACAGAAGCCCCTCAGGCATCCTGTGGCACCTTGTGCTGGCAGAAGCCTCCCAGCAAGCCTGCTCCTGCCTCAATGTTGAAACTTTGGGGTGGAAACACAGAGCTGCACTGCCAGAGCCACCATGTTCCATGTTAAATACAAAAAGAAACCTAAGGCCTTTCCCCCAGCTCTATTTGCAACAGTGACACATTTAATCTCAGCATCCTGTTCACAGGCTTAGACACATGGTCATGTTACATCTTCCCAGGAGGCTCCCAAGTCAGACCTATGTTCTCTTCTGTGGCAGGAGTGAGAGAGAAATTTTGGGAGGAAAAAAGAGAGTGAAGAGGGCAAGTCACATTGAAGCTTTGAAATGGAGGGATGAGGTGCTTTGATGATGGAGCTTTCTTTCACCACCACCATTCACTGTTAACTTGCTGCCAGTGGCAGAGGCTGTCTCCTTGGGGCAGCCTCTACTGTAGCCCAGCACAGCTCCCTTTCAAATGGTGGGGCAGAACTGCCACATAGAGATCTGCTCCTGTGCAGCATGTGTTAACCTCCACGCTACACCCTTCTTTCCCATTGTTGTCTCCTGGAGCTGAGGCACTCACTCTACATAAGCTTTTGAAACCTCAGCACTAAAATCTCCTCTCTCCTTGGTTGAGGAGAAGATGACATTGCCACAGATGAGTTCTGGGGCAAGGGGGTGATTTGCTAGTTTTATTACTATCAGTACGACAGCTGCATAGAAAATAAGACTTCCTATAAAGCACTAAATGTGCAGCTAATGGTTACTGATGTTGAGGACCTCAGGATTTCCCTGTGCTTCTCCTGTAATTTTACATACCACATCCTGCTCTTGTCATGCTCCACAGTGTTCTGCCCAAATATAGTCCTTGGTCAAGCTCATGAAATCTGAGGTGATTCTCTCTCAGTTATGTCACAAGATCCAAAGAAACATACTAAAAAGATGTACTTCCTAAAAAGGCAAGAAGCCTTAGGAGCAAGGGAAGGGGAGGCTAGATTTTACCAAAGACACTGCCACAGCAAGTGCATCAAAAGCTTGGTAGAAGAAGGACTGTAAGCAGGATGTCATAGCAATGGAATACAAAATAGACAGATAAAATAGAGGGTACTGTTCTCTGCTCAAGTAAAATAAGTCAGATTAGGTTAAATAACTAACTGCATCAAGAACAGTAAGAGCATCCCCACAGACCAGGCCAATATTACTAAATACATTGATTTGGAATTGTATTAGGTACTGCCAGACAAAGATGAGAGAACTCATGAACAGGCAAAAACCCCAGAGCAGCTGTGAGGGAAGCATGGTGGTGATGTGTGTCAATTAATTGCATCAAATTACACAAATGGCATGTTGTGGCATAATGCTGAGACTTAATGCTTAGAGACTGTTATCAGACACCTTGTGGAGTAGTGAGCTGGGAAACACAGAAAGACCTTGTGACTGTCCTGAGCCACGCCCAGGCCACCCGGCTCACTGTGCCTCCATCCAGCAGCTTCTCTGCCACAGTGAACACAAAAACACTAAGATTCAACAGAGCCAAGCAACAACCACAACAAGCAGTGTGCTATAATAATTTCAAAATGGGAAACTACAGGAAAATAAAGAAGTTTGTAAGGGAGAAATTAAAAATAATGGCTAAAAGAATACAGTATTTGTAAGCACTAGGAGAGACTTTTTTAGGATCTCTTGGTGGATGCTGAAAACAAATGCACATCACACACCAAGAATATTGTGGGAAAGATGAAGAGACCAGCGCTGAAACAGAAGGGGAAGGGACTTCACTTGAAAAGAAGAATGCTTCCTTTAAGCATTGGAAGCTTTGTCCAAATACAGAAAGTAGACCAGGTGAATACATTAATAAAAAATAATTTATTTTGATCTTAGAGTGGTTTGAAGGCTCACTGGTTTTAAGACTAGTTTCTGGTTTTAAGATTTGAAAAGGGCAGCTGTTCCTGCTACCTCCTGAAACAAAAATTTTGGAGCTTCCAAACCCTCTTGCTTTCTAACACTCCTCAACGCAGTGGGAGGCTGGTGCGGCTGGGTAAGGATTCCGAGTTCAAAACCCAATAACAACAAACAAGCTGTTATTGAGCAGGCTCTTTATTGCAGCACTGGGCAGCACTGGGGATTCTCCACCATGGGTGCTCCAACGAGTCAGTGAAACACCCCAACTAATATACACCAAAAACATGCATATTCAGTTCTATGTCAATGAGTCCCCAGAATTCTTTTACATAGCCATTTTATTTCCTGGAATTGGCTATCTTTGTAATTATGCATGCTCGAAGGTCTCCTGTGGGGGTCTTTGTTGATTCTAGCCTTTTGTGTCTCTCTCCCGGTCCTGTCTCCAGTCTCCCGCTGGTAGATTGCCCAGGTGGGTCAGAGTCCACATGAGTGTTGTCTGAGGGTGCCCAGGGTTTTAGAAGACTTGATGTTATCACAACCTACAGGATGCTTAGCATAGTTGACTGATAGTTTCACAAAGCACCTTGGTATAAAAGCAACCCTCTTAGTATAGCAAATTCATTATTTTAGTAAATTTTTATTAGGTTATATATCTATTGAATTTACTAACGAATATCCTATGATGTATCAATCCCCCTTTTCTTTAAACTTTGTAAATTCCTTTACAAAGATTCTAGATCATTATGTTTCATTACTTTAGGCAAGGCCCAAATTCTTATAGTCAGTTTCTTTAGCTTATACCATAAAAGGCAATTAACGACCGTCAGTATAATCACAAACACCAACAGTATCAAAAGTGGGTGAATTAACACGTTTAAAGTTCTTTCTGCAGAGAGTGAGTATCATGAAAAGATATATCACCAATGATGGGCAGTTTCAGATTCAATTTGACTAGACAGACCAATAAGTTTGTCTTTGGCTACTACTGTTTTAACGATAGACTCAGCCAAAGTTTTATTCTGGTTCCTTAAATGCTCTCAAAGTTCTTGAGACTGTTTCAATATCTCAATTAATTTCCCCAAAGATAAGCTTGCATGACTTAGGTTCAAGCTTTCATAGTGCCGAAACATTGCCACCTGTTCCTCTGTATATGCAAAAATGAGTATGTTTGTCCATGCCAGGTTAAACGGGTTATATTTCTGAGACACCCTATAAACGGGGTAGTCATTCCATATTCCTCAACGACAGACTGATTGTTAGTTACTAAGCACTCATGTCTAGCATTAACCTCTATAAACATTACAAACATTTTAGGAGACAGAATTGTCCATTTACAACTATTGACAGAATGTTCTAACAAGCAGGGTTCGTATAACTGTGATTGTTGTCCACAAAATGTGCCTTCAGTGGTAGTTTCACAAAGGTTCAAATCATATGTTTTATTATTGCTCCCAATATATTTCCCTTGAAATTCTGGTAACCGATATTCTAGGTTCCCTTGACTTGAGAAGAGCATTGGTAAAACTAAAAACTTGCACATAACTTCAGGGTTGGTTACATTATAGAATACCAATTTTCCTGCACACCAGGAGTCATAACACTGCACAAATTTGGAATAAGCTTTTAACCAATGTTTAGGACTGTTCAAAGATCTTTCTCCACATGAACTCATTGTTTCCCATTAAATAAGACTGCACCTTAGTCTTTTGTTCTAGTTGCCACATAATTTGTAGGGTACAGACTGTCCAGTCCATAAATTTAGCCGTTTGTTGGTTTTTTTTTAGTGATTGTACCTGGGCAATTATACTCTCATTAAAGAGATGTAAAGATTCCTTATTGTATTTTAAGGTCTGTAAAGGTGGTTGGCATCCATTCAGCCTGAATTTTAATTGCTTGGGCTACATCAAACCCTGCTGTACCAACTTTGTTCCTTAAAGTCTCTAAATCTACTGAATTTATAAGCCCTATTCGAGTTCCTACACCTCCAAGCAAGCTCGTTTAGCTCTACAAGGAGGTGTGGCTGGAAAGGAGATACTAAAGAACAGCAAATGTTTTTGTCTAATTCTTGCCACATTTGTACAAGTTGATGGCAATTTGATTAATTGATCCTGATTCACAACTTGCTGTGGATTTAGGAGTGTTAAGGAGGCCACCTTTCCAGCAGTCTTATTGACCTTTCCGTCTGTACACACCAGTGTGTCCCAGGTACCAGTTTCCCAAGTGTGCTTTTTGTTTATTGAAGGTGTTATTCCATTGGTTTTGAAGAAAGGACTCCTTCATTTGTAATGGAGGTCCTATCCCTTTAACTATACAACATTTTAGGGGAACCATAGTTACCTATGTGACACTGGTCAAGTTTGAACATAACACAAAATTCATCCTATGCCATCCTGTCAATTTACTACTTCTAGTATAGGGTTGCCATATAGAACAGTTTTCAGAGAAATGGACAGTTGTCCCAGTGTTGTTTTCCCATAGCCATTTAGAACCATCAACTGGTTCATATCTTCTTCTCAGGGGCCAACTAAGAGTGAATGTTCCCACCCACCCAAGGTTAAGACATAACAATATTATTAGTTTCGGGTCAGTCTTACAGATGTGGGTCCTACAGGTTGAGCTTTCCATGATCCACCAGGTGCCTTTTTTACTCTTGAATAGTGGATCCAGGCAGCGTGTTTTTCAAGCTTGATTGCAGTATAGGTTGTGAGTAAA